ACATTTATACCATGGCACATTCATAGCTTCATTCATACACCAAGCAATAATAGTTTTCTTACACTTTCACTTTAAATCATAAAAAATACAAGTATTAATCTTACCAGACATACTTCTTTGTAGAAATGATGCAACAATGATTAATTGAAGAAAGCAGCTAATGAAAACCAATGGTCAATTAACGTTAGTTAAAATTTGGCACGTAGCAACAAAAAAAAAAAAAAAAAAACGAAAAAAATTGGTTGCCACAACATTGGGGAAACAGAGTAAATTCTGGATTACCAGAAAACCAGTATCAGCATCAATATTTGTTACCAATCTAAGAGGCACCCTTTTTAACACTAAAAACAAAATATCAATGGTTATGGTTCACTTCATTCCTAATTGCAGTCCTAACAGAATTGTACCACAAACATTTTATTAATTTAATTCGCAATTCTCATGTTTTCCAGGTTCACACAGTAATTTGTCAGACTGTAAACATAGCACTGAGATTCAAGCCCATTTCACCTAAAGATATAGCTCTGTAACTGTCACTCACAATCCATGTCATTCTAGAATTCCATAGCCATCACTAATAAAAAATCTTATCCACACTGACTGTAAATCAACTGTAAATGATATTTGCTGTTATAGTGGTTTCGTTTTAAAACATGTAAAAAAACAAAATCATTATTTGAGTCTTTCTACTATTTCACTTTGTTGTTCAGTTCTGTCAATTTTTACGTTCGGTTTAGAGAGAAAGTTCAGAGAGAGATCTGGAAGAAGGCGGGAGAAGACAGCACAAGCAAACTTTCTGTTAGTCATGTGAGTAACATTGTATGTTTCCACTTTGTTTGGCGCTGTTGATATAAGATTGACCTCTGGCATAAACTTCAATGACCTGATTTAATTCATTGACTTTAAACAAATTCATCTATCTACTACGTCTGTTACCTTGTTATGATACATTCAGAAATGTATGCACATATGGATGGATGGATGGATGGATGTGTTTATGTATGCATGTGTGTATACGGAAAATCCCATCGACCATAAGAGATGGCGCCAATCGGGCCAAACCAAAAAAAAACCATTTATTAAATACAAGAAATAATTTCCTATTCTTATTTTTCTTTCAAATTTGTTATACAGTACAAAGTCCGTAATCCGGACTTGTCAGGACTTCGGCGATTCCGGATTATAGATCATCAATTTAAATCTGGTAAGATGGCATGCAGAAATTATGCAATTAAAAATATGAAACACGTAATTTATGAAATAAAGAGCAATTTATGATCTAAAGGTATCAAAATTTACAAAAAAAAGCTAATATTTATTTGTTTACTTTATTAACATTTCTTTCAATGTAAGTTTTAAGTTGCTTTTGATTTCCCTGCATACTTCTCTTTAATTCTATAAACAGACACAATTTCCCCAGTTACGTTCCATTGTCAAGTCCTGTATTGCTGTGTGAAATACCAACTAACTTTTTTCGTTTTCAATACCTCTCTGTCCTTTCTTCATATCGAAAGCGGTATTTTCTCTAGACCTAAACTACATAGATTTCGCCGTCCATTAATCTTCATCGTACTAACCATGAAATATGGTAGATGGCCATAAATTATGCCAAGCATTTTTTAACGTACTCGGAGACACATTCTCCGCAATCTTGTGATACTCCACACAGCAGATTTATGCTAAAAATTTCAAAAAGTCTGAATAGTCTTGCCATTGTTCAAGAAATTAACATAGATTTTCAAAATGCTACTTTATATTGCATTTCAGCACGAGCACTATCCCATATCCATAGGCTGAATGATAGACATACAATTTGGAGGAGAATAATACGATACTTATTTCACTAAAACTTTAAGTGAAGTAGGCGCCGACAGTTGTCACAATCCAGACTATTTTTGAGTCATCATAACCACCGATTCAAATGTTGTTGACATGGGTATAAAATTATTTTTAACCAATCATTCATCAATGCTTGTGTCATCCATGCTCTCTTTATTTGCGCAATATATGACAGAAAATTGTTACACATTTAATGCTCGAGGTCGTGCATGTCTTCCGATTATGAAAGTTTGCTTGTGCATTCCTTTGCACCTGCTAAATTTTTCGTCGCTTTGGAATCTTTGACCAACCAGTTGGAGCTTTCTGTAGAGGTGTTGCCAAGGTATTTGGTATTGCCAGAAAAGCATTTCATCAACGTTTTTAAATTTGTTTTGGATATAATTGTTCACTAGTAATGTTTCATGAATTCATCTGCAACTGTTTTCAGCAGCTTCAGTATCAGCTGAAGCTTTTCACCTGAAATTTTTAATTTCTCTCATACCCAGGAGATTTTAAATTGGTTACCTGTCGAATATGTGCACTCAGTGTTCAAGTTCCCTTCTTCAAGAAATATTTTGGCTTTAGCATTGGGACGCCTCGGCCACCCCATTTCATCATACTGTCATGATCCCCCTTTTAAAACTGAACTTTTTCTGATCCAGACAAATTCAAGCAAAGTTCCTTTTTCTTTTGTCACACTAAATGTAAAGTTTTTTTTCATAGTTTACTTTTATAATTTTGAGACAATGCTTTATCCATTTTTTTCGCAGCATGTCCTTCTTTTTGTTTGGACATCGAAATGCTTTCGCTTTTTGACCTAGATCCTGTTGGCAGCTCCAAATGAATTGAATTACTTTTGAAGATTAAACTTGCTTTAATTTATTATAAACTGAAAAATATTAAGGAATTAGAATCTCTGCAACCTAACTGATGCCTTAATTCAGTAAGATAATTTTATAGCCATTATACCATTATATTTAAACAGTGATGCGTAAAGCATACAAAAAAAAAAAAAAATGTGGCTTTGCGGTCTGGATTATAGATCATTATGGATAATGGACGTCCAGATTACGGACTTTGTACTGTATTATCATTCATTTACATTTAATTTTTCATTAAAAATTTCCATTATTTTTTATTAAGGAGATACTGTAAGAGCAATTATTTCTGCTAGGTTTTAATTTTAGCAAGAAAATGTAAGTCTCACAAAAAACTTTTTTTCGCCTCAAATAATAATAAAAAATCAGAAATTTTCAGTTCGCGAAAATTGCAGCCTTGATTACGCCAAATCCAAGCGTGTTTGAACAAGAACAAGACTCCATTTTTTTTTGGAAAAACACGTTTAAAATAAAAACATGAGTCGGCAAAAATTGTTTTCTGAAGTCCATAAGGTGTATGTAAATAGCATATTGCACATGATATGGGCACGAATACATGCATTCTGATTTATCTATTTTGAAGTTTTGATTTTTAATCGAAAATCTTTACAGCTGCAAAAGCGCATGAATGAACGTCAAATACAGTCACAAAATCCGAAATATCGATTCGGATTATCGATTTTTCAAATAATCTGGAACATGGTTAATGCAGAATCAAAATTTATGAACCGTAATTTACGAAAGAAAAATCTACAAATCAAAATTACCAAAAAAAAAAAAAAAAAAAAAGCTTAATATTATTGTTTACTTTATTAAACATTTTTCAAGTAAGTTGTTTAAGTTGCTTCGTTTTTTATGTGATAATACTTTCTTTTATTCATAAACGACATAATTTCTGTTCAGGTTACAAAGTTCAAGTCCTTTAATTGCTGTGTCAAGAAAACCGACTAATTTGTCAATCGAAATTTTTTCGTTTCAATAACCTCTGTTACCTTCTTCGCTATCGGAAGCGCGATTATAATGACGAGCATTTGATTTAAATCATATCAAAGACAGAGTACATCGAGAGGAATACCACATTAGTAGCAATTTAAGCAAAATATACAAAAATCTGCTCTTAGATAAGGATAGTGTGACGGATCACTTCATTCATTGCGGTCCCACGCATTAAAGATAAACAAAGTTTAGATAAACAAACGTTAAGTTTAGATAAACAAGGGATATGCCTTATCCCCATTTTTGCAGCAATTCCACTTTTTGTTTTAACTGACTCCGACAGATACTTCGCTTTGTAAAATATCCTTTCATATTAGTAAAGATATATCGGAAATTCTATTGAAATAATCGAAAGTTCAAGCTTACTTTTATAAAATTGCTCTAACAGTCTGCAAATTTAATAAGAAGATTAAGGCCAATGATTAAACAACAAACTAACTGAAATAGATAATTTTATAATTTTTACTTAGTTATCCCGTTTATACATTAAACGCGCATTCGTAAACGTATTGCGCACGCGCACACAAAATCGCAGCCGTAAAGATCGACGCATGCGCAGAAAGTTTAGCTTGGAGGTCCGGATTATAGATCATTCCGGATTATGGGTGTCCGAATTAACGACTTTTGACTGTAATAGAAATACTATATTCAAATAACAATTTTGTTTCATATCTATTTTAAAATGAATGGACCTTGTTTATCAGCTGTTTTGAACACAGTACTAAATAACTTTAGCACGACAATTCACATTATTTTCTGTTATACACTGATAGAAGACCAAACTGAACACCTATGAATAAAGTGATTATCAGGTCTTATTTTTAGCATAGTTGTCCCTAGGATGACCAATAGAGAACTTCCAATTATATCATCAAGACCCATTAATTATGAAAACTACCATCATTAGAATAAATTGCGCATATGCTAAGAATACATATTAATGTACTGAACGCTGTATTGAATGCTTTATTTTTTATTGCTTTCATCTAACCTGAAGTTAATTTGCAATTGCAATTGTTTACCATTCCTCTTATATTCATCCTATTCACCACTGATTTGATAGGTTCTATCATAAATTCCTCATGGATGATATCTTGTCTTTCTTGGTGTCTAACTATGATCATTAAAAAGAAAAATGTATGACAGTTTGGCAAAATATGTTAAAACAAACTATTTATTGACTAAATTTAGTTCTAGAAATTTAGCTAGAAGGTATACAATGAGTAATGTTAAATTCCTTACAAAAATCAACTATAAATAAAAAAAATATATACAGATATTCCATTACAAAGAATTAATTACACATACCATTAAAATAGAATTTCAAGCTATTGGCAAAAACATTCTTAAGAGGTATATCTAATTTCTTTGCAACTGGCTCAATAATTGCTCGAAAACCTCCAGACACTAAATATACAGGTATGCCTCTATCATGAAGTTCTGTTATCAGCTCTCTGGAAAGGAACAACAAAATGCATAAAAAACCTGAAATATACTAAATGACTTGTACTTTTCTTTTAACATATACTTATGGAAGTGAAATCCCAACACCAAGAAAAAAAACTATTTAGAAGAATGATATGTAGGAAAAGCATTTCTTTGGGTAACATTTATTTGATCAATGTTTCAAAATCACAGGTTAAAGTATGCACAAGAAGAGCCATTTCAAATGTGAAAAGATGATACATTAATAATTAATAACCATTATAGTTGCTATGATGTTGAACACAAGTATGCAGATGCATATGTATCATACAGGTATATGTCATTTTGTGGGATGGAGTTTCATGGTAATTGCACTTGGTCAATGAAATCACCAATGATCTATGCTGGTTGTGAATAAATTTAGCATCCAATCATGTCCCATGTGGGCTCGGGAGAAAAATCAGGTGATCTTACCAAGACAACATGTCATTACACTGAAGAGTATCTTGGGTGATAGAAGTGGCATGGGGACGAGCATTATCTTTTCGAAAACAGCCCCCTGAAATGTTGTTCATGAATGGCAGGACAACTGGTGCAATCAGCAGTCTAATGCACAAATATGCTGTTAAAGTAAGGAGGATAATGAATAGAGGGCTCCTGTTGTCATAGGAAATTACTCCCCATTTGCAGATGGCAGTGATTTAGAGTTAGTGGTATATATGATAGTACCGGTAATTCGGAAAACTTTTAAACAAGGTGTCTGATTCAGAACTATTTCTCAAGTAATCAATTTGTTACAGTTAATTGTGACACTATGGTGCTAACAAAAATTCAGATATCAACTGCAGATACAGTGCAATATGCACAGGACTTGCAATGGTGTGACAATCTTCTCTTGGAATGGTAACCATCTCTATTTGACTGAGAGTGAGCAACCTGATCCCGGCCCTCTTCAGACAGTACCTTCCCATGAACACGGCTGCCAGTGCACACACAGTGGGTACATCTCTGTTAAGTCTTTTCGTGAAATGAAAATCCATCTTTGCGTAGTACATGGCCTCGTTCATGTTTAGTAAGCTATTGATACAACCTCCTTTTGTCTCTTTAAAACCATTCTCAACTCAAATCTTGCTCACAATACCCAATCTGGAAGTTCAATAAAGCATACAAAATTTACATGCGTGTTTAAAGCAAATGTGACTTGCATGTTCATAGTGGCAATACTAGCACTACACTTATTCATCGAGCACAAAATTTGAATAAATGTCATCTTTCTGATGTGCAAACACACCTCTCAAATTTTATTTATAAAACACAATTCCTTCTTTATGTTGAATTTAATCTTCCAGCAGTATATTTTGGCTGATTCCACCCCAATTTTCCCAATTTCAGGTTTGCTGTTTACATACAGTACAACTTTACTACAAAAAGCTTACACTTTTTAAAAGGCATGGCAATAATAACAACTTGAATGAACAAGAAGACAATGCTCTTATTATTACTGCTTTACACAAATTATTTGTTTGTTTCCACTTGACAGAAATTGGAAACCAGTACATTTATTTAAGCTTGTTATAATATGTTTCTGAGATAATGGTTAATTATAAGCAATGAAAGCATAAAAGTGTAAAAAAAAATTCAAAAATATGTATTCAGCATCAGATATTATTACAAAATGATTTAAAATTTAGTTGGCCAAAAGTTTTTTAAAACCAGTAAAATTTTGAACATTTCAGAACAATTAAAAAAAGTTCTTTTAATAATTTAAGAATGTATATTTTCAACAAATAACAAAACTGTTGGATATTAAACTATCTCTCAATAAACTATTTAAGCTATTAATAAACATTACCAAACACACCAATCATCAATAAACTATTATACAATTTAATGAAACTTTATTCAGATTATTGTAACTTCAGAAAGCAATCTGCACTTTTTTTAAAGAAAAAAAGAAAAATATTCTTTCAATGAATTAAAAACCATATTGTAAGATTTATTAAGAGAGGAAAATAATTTACATTGGTGGTTATCACATTTGATAAAATTCTCACTATAAAATAATAAAAAATCAAACTGTGGTATTAACAAAACAATGCTCAAGTAACTAATAATAAAAATGATGAGATAACTCTGAAAAATTTTATTTTCTGAAAATTTTGCAAATTTTTCTGAAAAATTTTAATACCCTTCTTTTCAAAGCAATGCTTTATTTAAAAAAAATTTTTAATATATAATTTCCTTTAAATTTTAAAAAGCAATTCTTAAAAGTCAATAAAGAATTACTTCATCATATTGTCTTTCAAAGCAAACCAGAACAGCCAAAAAATTATATTTAAAGTGCATTTTATTAATACAGTCAAAAGTCGTTAATTCGGACACCCATAATCCGGACCTCAAAGCTAAAAACTTTCTGCTCATGCGCCGCGGTGGCACATGCGCACAGGCGTTTTACGCGTGCGCGTAAGACCTTGACTACTGCACATATGCGTGTGCGCAACTGCAGAATACATTTTCGCGTGCGTGTTTAATGTATAACGGATGGTGTAAGCTAAAATTATCTAATTATCTATTTCAGTTAATGTTAATGATTGCATTGTTCCTTAATCTTCAAATTGGATCCTGCTTATTATTTTTAGCAGACTGTAAGAGCAATTTTATAAAAGTAAACTTGAACTTTCGATTATGTCAAATAGAATTTCCGATGCTGGAACTTCCAAAGGATCTACAAAACGAAAGTATGTTTTGATGTCCAACAAACAAAAAGTGGAATTGCTGCAAAAAATGGATAAAGACATGAAGAATGTGACAGAAAGGTTAGTGAAAACGAAAAAATCTCGATTGACAAGTTAGTCGGTATTCTCGGCACAGCAATTAACGGGACCTGAACAGCGGAACTTTGTAACTGAACAAGAAATTATGTCTTTTTATAGAATTAAAGAGAAAGTATTATCACATAAAATGAAGCAACTTAAACAATTAGATTGAGAGAAATGTTTAATAAAGTAAACAAAAAATATTAAGCTTTTTTTTTTTTGTAAATTTTGATACCCTTTAGATCATAATTGTTCTTTATTTCATAAATTACGGTTTCATATTTTAATTTTAGAATTTCTGCATGCCATCTTATGAAATTTAAACTGATGATCTATAATCCGGAAAAATCGATAATCCGGAATCGCCGAAGACCCGACGAGTCCAGATTAACGACTTTTGACTGTATAAACAATCTAAAGATGAATAAAAATGATATTGTAAGCATATAATTTTATTATCATAATAATATATCTATGTAATCTCTATCTTTTTTAATAATTACAATATTTAATTTAATACCTAAATTAATAATTAAAACTTGCACTTTAAATTTCTAAAGAATGTTCTTGTTATATACAGTCAAAAGTCTTTAATCCGGACGTCCATAATCCAGAATGATCTATAATCCGGACCTCAAAGCTACAAACTTTCTGCGCATGCGTCAACACATACCTTAACGCATGCACATATGCGTCTATGCATGTGCATAATACGTTTACACATGCATATTTTATGTATAACGGATGGTATAAGCTAAGCTAAAATTATCTAATTATCTATTTCAGTTAATGTTGCAAATAGTGTTGCTCCTTAATCTTCTAATTGAATTTGGCTTATTATTTTTTTGCAGACTGTTAGAGCAATTTTATAAAAGTAAGCTTGAACTTTCGATTATGTCAAAAAGAATTTCTGATTCTGGAGTTACCAAAGGATTTACAAAGCAAAAGCATGTTTCGATGTCCATCAAACAAAAAGTGGAATTGCTGCAAAAAATGGATAAAGGCATATCCTTTGATTCTCTAACCATTCCGAAATATGTTTATCAATTTCACGCTGCTCTGCAGGGGAGGGGGGGAACGATGCTGCGCGCAATGAACTGGAAGTTGATCTGTCAGCAATATCCTAATCTTCAGAGCATATGTTTTTATTTTTATTCGGCTTATAATTCCTTACTAAATGTAGTATTTCATCTCGATGTACTCCGTCTTTGATATGATTTAAATCAAATTCCTCGTCATTATAAATATCACGAATACAAATCAAATAGTTTTCTGGTTGCAATTTTCTAATTTCGACTATGCGTAATGTATGCTTTACGTATGCGCACGTTGAAAGAAATGTTTAATAAAGTAAACAAATAAATATTAAGCTTTTTTTTTGTAAATTTTGATACCCTTTAGATCATAATTGCTCTTTATTTCATAAATTATGGTTTCATATTTTTAATTTAATAATTTCTGCATGCCATCTTACCAGATTTAAACTGATGATCTATAATCCGGAAAAACCGATAATCAGGAATCGCCGAGTCTGGATTAAAGACTTTTGACTGTACTGATAATGTTTGCTGACTTAATATAGAGAGTTTGATAATCTTTTTTAAAAAAATTGCCAAAAATCACCAACTTGTGCCTGATTAATAACTTTTACCTAAAAACTTTAAGTAAATATGAACTCAAACTTGAACCAATCATTGTGACAGAAGTTTGAAAGGTACAGAACCCTCTTTATTTAGATAAACCAACAATTACAAATAAACATTCAAAAAGTTTAATGAGAGCTTAAGCCCCGAGATTATCTGACAAATTCATTAAAACTTCATCTCATATCCTTCTTAATAAAAACTAAATCAGATTATCAAAGATTAATCAGGATTATGTAAAACCAAGGTGTAGAGCTTATGTGTATGTTATGACAGCAAGCTTATTAATATAACTTTTACCAAAAGCTGAAGTAAATATGAACTCAAAGTTGAGCCAACAGTTCTGATAAAATCTGAAAAGAGCAGAAACCTTTTTATTTAGTTAGATAATCCAACAGTCACAAGATACTGATATAGCATATAAAAAGCTTAAGCCTGGAGAACATTTGACAAACAAATTCATTAGAATTTTCACCTTATAATCTTCTTCATAAAAACTAAACCAGACTATGAAGGATTAGTGAGGATAATATAAAAGCAAGGTGATGAACTTATGAGTGTATCAGGACATCATACTTATTCATTACTGCACTTATTCATACTAAATTACACTATTTGATGACAGTTTTTGCATATCAAAAATGGCTGAAAGAGAAAGTATATAAGTGCCTTAAAGACCTTATATTTTATCCAATTACATAACTTGCTGGTTAAGAGAGATAATAAATAATGATTCAACACTGCATTCACCGCATGAATCTTTAATTATAGCAGATAAATTACATTTGTATATGAAAACAATGATGCTCCTTCAAGATGCTATCAAATTATGAAAGGGCTTGAGAATTAAAAAAACTACAGATTTAAATACTTTTTTTTTAATTAAAAGATTACTCACTCAACACCAGGAGTCAGATGAGGTGGATGTTTTAATAAATAGCTGTTCAACATAGAAACAGTTGGCTGAATTAACTCCAGGCGTTTTGCTAATGCTTCACGAAAGGTCATCCCTCCTCGCATGGCTTTTAATGTCCTGAATGAAAAGAAAACTTTAAAAAAAGTAATAAAATTTTTATCAAATACATATTGAAAAGGAGAGATTGATAATACTGTAGATGTATAAAATTGTCTTCTACCATGGCACACCCAAAAATAAGCACTTTTTTCAGCAGACATATATGATTTTCTCAATAATGTAATACAGAAGCTAATCTGATTTTATGCCTAAATAGTTTCAGGGTCAATTTATATTTTATGGTAAATTATATATCATTATTCACTTTTAATTTATGCCATACATAAATACATATATATGTGATAAAAACAAACTTAGATGTAATGACGATGAGCAGAATTTTGATGGCGTAGAAGTGTTGATCCATAATGAATAGGAAATTGGAGGTGAAGGCAGATTACATCTTCATTTTGTATTTTAGCATCATGCTGCGGCTCTTACATAATTCTGGTGATGTAAATGGAACTAAAACGCAAGCAGCCAATAGTAATTTTATAGCAATATTGACTATCCAGTCAAAACTAACTCAGTCTGATTTAAGATCTCATGCTGAACATAATGTACTTGCTTTCTACGCTTTGGCCTAGCTGGACTGCAATCTGTCAAAAATGTACGCTCTTTGGAATAGGCACATTTAATTTGTCCAACTTGTTTGTGGCTGCAACATGATGCTAAAATAAAAAATGAAGATTTAATCTGCCTTTACCTCCAATTTTCTATTCATTATAGATCAACACTTTTACGCCATCAAAATTCTGCTCATCGTCATTACTTCTAAGTTTGTTTTTATCACAACAGAGTACTTGTCTAGGGGAAAGATCCTGAAATTGTGGAAGGTTAATCAGAGGTTGCTTGTTTGCATAGAGCAAAGCCATAGTATTTTTATATTTTACATATATATATGCCAAATTCATATCCATTATGTGTTTCAAAACATATAAATTTTTTAAAATGCTCAGATTTGTCAAAAAACTTGTTAAGTATGTAATTTCTTTAATAACTTCTAAAATTAATATGAAGTAATTACTAAGGACATAGCACCTGAAAAAATGCACAGATTTTTCTGGATGCTGATTGAAGACATAAAGAAAATATGATTCTTTTCCATTAAAGCCAAACCAAATAGTATTTTTTTTTTTTTTTTTTTTTTTTTGGTGGCAAAAATCTTAACAGCTTAATCTTCATGGCAAAAATATTAAAGTTTTTAGAAACTTGAGATACTTTGGGGTTGTAACTGACAATACACTCACTTGGATGCCACATTTATAGGAGGTCAAGGGAGAACTTCACAGCATATTTCATTCCATAGTCAGGACAGCAGCACCAACATGGGGAATTTCTCTGAAGATGCTTAAGATGTGGTACTCCACAGTTGCTGAGCATATTGCACTGCATAGGGCTTCCATGTGGAGCATTACAATCACTTCTAAAATGGAGAATCTGTTATGCTCAGCACAAAGAACATTCCTCCTTAGCATTTCCCAAGGATTTAAAACCTTGCCTACTAATGCACTAAATGTGATTTCAGGACTGCCAGCTCTGCTTCTCTTAGCTCAGTGTAAGAGTGCAATAGTGTGTGAGCTCCGACTCAAACAGACAACAAGTTTGTGGGATAGAACTTATGTGTATATACTGACTATAAGCAGAGAGATCCCGAGCCACCATGTCACACAGCCGAATTCAATATTTTGATTAAGTTACCAACGTGGTTCAAAGCCACTGCAATCTACACCAATGGGTCCAAAGAAGACTGTGGCACTGGTAGTGGTTATTGCGTTCTACATAAGAATCAGATCTTAAAGACCAGGGAAAGTAAGCTTAGGCACCACAACTCAGTTTTAATGCAATCAGGCTGAACCGACTGCATTAAAAGCTGCAATTAACTATTCCAGTATTTATTCAGACTTAGCCTCTAGCCTTCAGGCAATCCAAGGCACATGCAGTAAAAATCCACTTGTCAAGGCCATACAAAAACTATTAATAAAGACACCAAAATACTATAGGCCCAAACTTCAGTAGGTACCTGCTCACACCAGAATACTGGATAATGAAACTGCAGATGCAACAGCCAAAAGATCAGTAAATGACCCCCCATTTTTGCACACTTGATGTGTCTCTCCCGGGCTCGTTCTTAAAAGCTGAGCTAGAGAGAGAGTCATTGAAGCATTGGCAACATCTGTGGGAGATAGAGACTACTGGCAGAAGAGTTTACAGATTTTTCCAAAAAGTCTGTCAGCTTCTAAGAAGTGGCTCGCCTCACTTCACTCAGTTTCTAACAGGGCATGGTCTCATCATGACTTATCTTGCATCGCTTCAGACGACAGCGAAAACAACCATTGCTCATGCGAGATGGCAGGAGATCCGGACCACTATGTGTTCATTCGCAGAGAGACTGCTGAACATCATCTCAGGCAGCAAGTAGCGGACCACATCCATGCATCGGCCAAAGCAATTTAAGAAAATCGCTATGCATTGAAACGCATATTCGATTGCGTTAATATTGCATGTAAAATCTCAAACAGGCTGAAGTAATTTTCAGCTGCCATCCTCGTTACCAGCACAGCTCTCATATGTTCTGTACTTGTAGTTAATTTATTTTATCTTAAGTTATCTTTTTCTGTTCTTTTCTGTTTATACTTATTTCCTTGAATTATATATTTTGCCTTATTTTATGTACTATTTTTACTCTTTGATCAGTCCCTCTGTTAATTGCTCATATTCATAATTAATGCACTATTCAGCTGATTATAACTCAGTTATACCTGTATTTGATAATCCACAGGACTCATTTATTGTTCACATTGTGGATGCCTGTTGTAACCATCTATCTATAACTCTGTAAATGTGAAACTGAAATTGTTCTTCTCACCCACAAAGCACCCTTTTTCTATCACTGCAACACTGACTCCCCCAACATTTGTCTGCACAGTCCCCAGCACTCATCTTGAGCACAATATGCACCAAAGTGTGTTATGTGGACCAAGTTAATTTCGCCAGCGGGGCTATCTGGCTGACATCCTAACTGCCCTAGTGGATTGACTGCATCACTATCGTGGAAAGTAAGAAAATGTTTTTTTGTAACCATTTATCTATCTATATATTTTTAGTCTGGGCATATTTTCTAGGTGCTAAATGTTGCCAGTTTGGTTTGACTTCATTCCTGCAATAATTATTTTTCTACCATGACACATAGCCAATTTTTTATTAATATTTTTTATTACAATTAATTTTATTACTTGGGGAAAGTAAATATTTCACAATAAATTCTTCTAATCATTTTGTTAATCCAGACACTAGGTGTCATGCCCAATCTGTTGAGCACTTGAAGGATATGGCAAAATAGTGCAATAAATGCCAAAGAGGCCCTGCCCACAACATTTAGATTCTGATTTAACAGGATTTATGTAATTCTGACTTAACAGGTCACATGCATTCTAAAGGAGAAATGGTATGCTGAATGCCATGTTTTAATTTTTGCCTGCTGTCAAGGTCATTTTTAATTTTATGGTAGCTGTTTAGTTTTATGATTCTTTTTTAGTACAATTAGTTTTACCATTAATGTTTATTTTAGGTTATGTGTATTTTATTTAGTCATTAAGAAATAATAAATACAACTTTTTTTTTTTTTTTTTCCTGTATTTATTTTCTATTACTACTTTTCTTAGAAAGAGTTCTCAATATGAAACAGCAAAAATCAAGGGAAAATATTATCAACAGAAATAAAATAAAAAGAAAAGGAAATGTGAGAAGAAGTTTGGGAGCATGTATAATACTGAGCCAAAAGCATAAAGAAAGAAATAAGCCAAAATAAACTATATGGCATAGAAAATGATGGCTTTAATGAAAAAGCACCTAACATGCTTCCACATTTAGGAAATATAATTTTATTCTGAAAATATCAGGATACCATTCTAAACACTTTTATATGATATAAAAATAAATACATGCATTTTAAATTACTCCTTTTACTGCTTAACATTTTTGTGTATGATGTAAATACATAAAATTTTAAAAACGGAGACTTCAGATGATGGATAGTCAAATGATGAGCTCAAGTAAAAATTAGATAAAGCTGGTTCACATTGTATAACCCCTGGTAGTATAATGACCCATCTAATATAACAACTAATACACATTAAACATTATTTGATATAACATTAGATAATCCCTAATGATCTTTTATAATCATATATCCCATTAGCTACAACAACCATCTGATGCAGCATTCCCATTTACTGTATCCTAGGCAATATGTAAGGGTCCTCGTTACAATGCAAGTCAACTATAATTATGTTACAGCAAAAGTTAACAATAGTATTAGGCAACTCAAAACATCAAGAAATAATATTTCTGCTATTTTCAATATTTAATATTTTTCCTTTAAATCAGTGCTGAACAGATAATTTTATTACCTTATATTTTTCACATAAAAGGTTGTAATTAATTCTCTAACCATGTTTATAATAATTCTTTTTATCCAATCTTCCCTCCAATTCCATATTTAAACAGATCACTTGTGTGGCCTCTCTAACGTTTAAGGAAAAAAAAAAAATTTCCAATACCATTAAGATCAGCATTTCCTACCTTTAAGCTTAAATGATAAAGCTTTTTTGTTGCTTAAAAATGCAGCTTAAAGCAATAATATTTAGTTATTCAATGATATTGAAATTTTATGCTTTCATAACTAACATGTAAGCTCTTCTGTTACTCATAACCATTGAGGAGATGACAGAATTTAGATAGTTACATATAATTTTATGAAATGAGTTTTAAAAAATTGAAATAATACTTGGCATACTTAGTGATTCTCATACATCAACAGCAAGTCCGAAAAACAAATCTTATAATAAACAGTATAATCTTGATATTACACAAAATTCACACTATAAATTGGATATATATTTTTCTAAATATTATTTAATAATCTGATTAAGATTTTATCATGTCCAGATAAAAAAATTTACATCCTGGTTAAAATATGTGCAAAAACAAAATTTTGAGAAATGATGATTTTACAGACAGTTTTGTAATAAAAGATGGATGCCTAAAATCTAATGTCTCTATGATTAAGATGAAAAAAGTTAGCAATTTAATAAAATTAATATTTCAAGACTTTAACTAAATACTTACCATTTAATAATTACAAGATAAGATTCCTTTAATCATTATTTACAAAAGATATTTATTATCATTAATAACATTGAAAAATTAAATATTTTTATAGATCCTTTGTTTTCACAATGCAAACCAGGAGCCTATTATCACGATACTTTTGTAAAATAAATGATACCAGAAATATGTTTAACTTTTTTTTTTTTTTTTTTTTTTTTTTCAGTTCTCTTTATTACCATTTGTAAATATCTTTATTTTAAGCTTATTTAGCTAAAGTGATTTATTTTTTTAAATGCTTATTAAGACAGTTAAGAGTGAAAATATAAATACCAAAGTACAGTTAAACAAAATATACTGCTTTAACTACTGAGTGCTCATACTTTTAGTCACAATATTTACTTATTTAAATATGCACCCTAGATATGAATATATAGGCACTATATGACTATATAATTATAATGTCATCTGTCCTTATCAATAAGACAAGATATGCTACTAACTGTTTTAGTTCAAAATACTGAAATTATTTGCATGCGAATTACTATTAAACAAGAACGAAGACTTTGAGGAAAATTTATAATTAAAGAACAGGTTTTGACTTTTAGTTATTTCAATAATATTCATTTGTTATTGCAGAAGTTCATTATGATGTTAAATAAAAACAACACAGTGATTTTCTTCTGTTAATAAGTGTTAAATTATATGCAGTTTAAGAATAAGTACTAAAACTGTTTAATAAAGTTTTGCTTTCAGGAAACATACAAATCAGTAACTTCCTTGTCTTTTCCTGCAAATTTTGCCAATTCATCAATAGCTTCATCCATGCAAACTGTGGAATCGACATCAAAGCAAACTGCATCTGCTGCTCGCCACAGTGCTTTCATCAACATCTCTGAATGTGAATGTGACATGCTGGATTTCAGATTTGAAATTTTTATCAACAACCAAATTTAACAGGAGAATTTTGACATGGAATGCTAAAAAGAACAGAAGTTTAATCAGAACAGTATCAGAAAAAAATTAAAGTTTATTAAAAAAAACGGTACTTTTCCGTTTTGCCGGCGCAGGCGTTTAAGTCGCCAATAACGGTACAACTAATGCTGAACGTAATATCCTCACTGGTAACCTTTTACGCCTCATTTTCAAAACAATTCGCAGCCATTTCTTTTCAGATTTATTGTTTCTTTCAATACTGGCATACAATTACATACAATTTTTACCAGATAGTTCAATTTTATGCCCTAAGGTCATTCGTGGTAATTAGTCAATTAGGATGCAATCACGCAGCTCGCCCGAAGGCAAAATACAGAAAAGACAAAGTCAAGGGTTAAATTCATCAATTCTAATGAAAATGCACTAGCGAAGTAAAGCACTGCGGTTTTACAAAATTTCTGGAGTAAATTATTCGTACGAACTGAAATAATTCTTGCATTTAAACTTGTATTCCAAATTAAGATTCAAACTTAAATTAATGTAGATAATTACTGAGAGAATTATATTTTTGTAGCGTAGATGAGATCACTTGGAGTCACGTGCTAGGAAAGGTGAAACAGTAGTTGAATAATGAAAGCATAGTAAATTCCTTAATTAATGTCTTTTCACAAGTTTGTCTTTATTTATTAATTTTTTTCAAAATTTTAAATGATATTAAAATGTTTATCCCTTCAAAATAAAAAAAGTCTTAGAACTAACATTTGTTAAACATTTCTTATGTGATACAGTATGTTGTCGCCAATAAAGTGTGCTTGGCGAGATTTGCACCGGCGAAATGGAAAAGTACCAAAAAACTTTAAACTTTTTTTAAAAGGAAAGAAAGAAAATAAGAAACTGATTGTAGTGAAAATTATAAATTCATACATATACAGATGAATACTAAATTCTAATAATAAGTTAACAATATTTGGTTTAAAATATTCAAGTAATATGCAGCATCAAAAAAATTAAATTACCATAGCAAATGCAAAAAAGAATTATACCAATAACTTAATAAATAACATTGGTTCTTAAGATACATTCTTCCCAAAAAATATACATAAAAAAAAAAAATTCTTCTATATATTTACATGTAATTAAAGATACATACATAAATGAAATCTGCTGTCTCTCTCCTGCAATCTTTTTTTCTTTTTTAATCTACTAAAAATGTATTTTTCTTAACGAATATTATTTTGATTTTCTTTCATGGATGAGTGCATTCACTGTAGGCATTATGGCATTCTTTAAAGGTGTGATACAGGAAAATATATTTGAAATAGTTATATATTTAGCGAGTAATTGTTAAATAATTTAAGAATATAAAAAATTTTTAAAACCAATAACTATGAAATTTTTAATAGTTCAATTATTATAAAATAAAATTAAAATACTATCGAAAACATACCAAATTCATACAAATGCTCGATCTAGGTCATTAATGTCTACATGTAGAATAAAAAAAAATCTATAATTATTGCTTGTTTAAATAACCTGTTTCCTTTTTTAGACTCACTGTAAATGTTATTTTTAATGGTAAAATAAAGTTTTATGGAAGGGGGGAACTAAAATTATGTTACGCTTTATTAAACAACTCAGTTACATATGGGAAAAAAAAAAAAATATGGGAAAAAAGTTAAAACACAATTAACCACCCAAGTTTTTAACAAAATTTTAATTTTATTTATATGTTATACCTATCAAACTACCAATCATTTAGAAATTATGAATACTAAGTTGAACAATTAAGAAAACTGAATCTACAATTTTCATTTTTGCGCTCTTTTCTACCTCTACACCACCGCTGATATTATGACGTAAGAAATAACTGTTAGAACTCTGACACGTTGACACATATATCATCAGAAGGCTACGTAAGCGATACTCTAGATTAGATGAAAGGAAGTGTGTAGCTCAAAAAATTTAACCTTTGCTGTCGATTTCACAGATTTGCAGTCGATTTAGAAGATTTCGCGAGTAGATAAAAACAGCAGACACTTCAAACTAAACTCATAAACATGTCTTGATGTTGCCATATGAAAGCGCTAAATTTAAAAATAAAACAGAATCCACTAGATTACGTGATTCCAGGAAAACAGAAATTCTTATCATAACAACTATCTCTCTGCTTCTCAGAGTAACACGTGTAGATGTCACTATTTTTTTCTTCAAACGAATATAGGGTCAATGAACAGCTAACGTTCAGCAGCTGCAAGATTTCAGCAGTTCTGCTCAGCAGCTGCTGACTTTAGTCAGCTTTTATTAATCCTTTGAACAGCTATTGCTCATAGAAAATAAATACATAAGAATGTAATAAAGCAAGCTAGTTACTTTTTTTTAATGACGAGTCCTAGCCATTTTAGACTGCAGGCCAGCTATTGATCAGCTGATAATTTCAGAACATAATTAAAAATTTAATTTGCTCCTATAAAAAGGGCTATAGCGTCCTTTGAAATGCTATGAGTGTTTTTTGTGACCATAATCAAATAATGAATAGTGAAGTGATTCTGAATGTGTAATGGGTCCTGGCTTTCGTAACAATAGTAGTTGCTTTTAGGAGTGTTTTCTAAAAAAAACTTTTGTTAAGTTACAGAATTTTTGCTTATATATGCAGCTGTTTCACAATGGTGTTTATCGCTTCATAATCTGTAATAAAATCAATTTAAGCTTCCCGGAACATCTGGGTTTCATTGTTGCATGCTTTCGGATTAAGGCTTTATTTTCTTTCAAAACGCACTAAGACTCGAATTGACAAGGCTGGATTAAGACTTATAGAAGCATTTAGTAGTTACAAGATTTTGATGCCCCCACTTAAATTCTAGCACACTTTTATTCCCCATTCCTTCTCTCTCGGTCTTCGTTTACCTGTTGCATATATTCCATGATAAAATCGGCAATAGGAAACGTTTGGGGTATCCACTTTCCTGATTCCTATGGACATTTTTATGGTGCCCTTTTTCCTTGATGTCCTAAACATGTGTTTATTTTGCTTAATGATTAATCCAGCTCTGAGAAAGACATTCTAAAGGAAACCGGTTCATATTCATGTTACAGATGGAGAATACCACGTAAACATCTATGCAGCTAGCTTTTTTCTAAAGGATTTATACCTCGATCAAACAACCAGTGTGCAGAGGCTTTAATCTGCCGCTGGCGGAAGAAACTATGTACTCAATTATATCTGCTTGCTAATGTATTTTCCACGCAAACGTTGAGGAAACTGGTATATTCCATTTGATTACAAATTTGGGCATTTACTTAGCATGAAGTAAATTGACTCTCTTTAAATACATAAAGGTGTTGCGATATTTTTTCAAATGCTTAATTACTGGATATCATCTAAATTGTCCTTCCAGAATCTTTTTTTAAAATTATTAACAGTAATGCTATATTTTATTTTTTTTCCCACCGCACCCTCACATTTATAAAGGATACGTAAGGGATAAATATATTTAAATGTTTGGCGACACGGGCTATTTCACTGCCCGTATTACTGCACAGAAGGTCATTTTTACCATTATGTCACATTATGCTTTTTCTTTCCTCTGTTGTTGCTAATGCTCACCTGTCTGACTTAAGTCAGCCCAAGCTCACGAAATTCCTCGTGGCAAGGAGCGCTAGATTACGCCTGCCGTTGGCAACAGCCTTTAGCACCTTTCAAGAGACAGTGCGATTTAGCTCAGCTCCGTCCCCAATTTGATGGAGAGCACCCCGGGGCGGGTCCACTCCTCTTCCCTTTCCACCAACCTCTCGAGAGAACCTTCCGCTCGCCGCATATTTAGAGTGCTCCCATGCCACATGGACACTATACATTTACAAACATGTATGCTTTCTTTGGGGTTCAAGCCCGGGCCCTTCGGCACGATAGTCAACAACGCTAACCACTTGTTCTAAATTAGATAAAACTACTCCCCCGCTTTCTTTTAATATCAGACTTTATGATTTGCTCTCTAGTTTTTTTTTTTTTTTTTTTTTTTTTTTTTCTTGATCTTTTATATAAACCTTTGTTTTGGCACCTAAGATGGATTTTTCGTTTCGAGAGCAGAAAGACATAGCAGTGCATACCAAAACATCAGTCCTTTGTTTGGCTGAGTAAATGTGAGCCTTTTGCGACTAAGTACGCACTGAAGAATATATATATATATTTTCCACAAACAGTAACAAGAGGTTTAATGTTATGAAGATTTTATGACTGATATTCTATCCATTTCACAAATTAAACTTTCCTTATATTTATTTAGAACCTATAGTTAAGCGCATTTTGAAATGATTGGGATTCTATGTTGATGTTAGAAACGTCTTTTATTGATTACAGTAATGATGTTCATTAATTAACAGTTGGATACGTTATAAATTACATAAGTTTTTTTTTAATTATGTCGCTTAGCTGTATTATTAAAAACAAAATAACGCTCTAAGTTATTAGAAAGTGATGTGATTTAAATTGGCTTTAAACCGCTAAGTATTTCAATCAAAGAATGATTAAATTTGGAACATAGATTAGAGATTAGAGATTTTGGCATTCAGCTAAGGAAACACGGGTTGTCATGTTGCACTTTGCAAACTAGCTATTTGCGAGGTCTGTGGTAGATATGTTAAAGATGTTATGTATGGCAAGTCACGTGTACATTGTAAGTCTTGTGTACATAGTAAAATAAGGGTCCAAAAATTTAAGGAACTCTCTGGAACCTTTCTAGCAACAAAAATATTAATTAAAAATTCTTTAAGTATTAAGAAGTATTTAACTTGAATAAAAAATGTTATTCTTTGCCGAAAAAAAAAAGCTCTGATATTTTTTCTAAGCCACGAGGATGATAAAAGTAAGGTCGTTTTGCTCAATTTAACTCAATGGAAAGATTTACCAAAGCACAGGGATGAAAAGTGAATGGTACCGTAAAATACGAATGCAAAAATTTCGGAAAACTACGTTAAACTTGTTTCTAACTTCAAAAATGACTTCTATGTTTAATTTCGTTTTTCTTCCCCCCACCCCCCAAAAAAATTA